AATATATATACTGTTTAACACGAATTTTAATTTGTAATATCAGTCTACGTACTATCCTTGCGCTTTACGAAAGGTTCTTTATTATGAAACGTAATGTTCCATACATAAAACAAAATTGAAACAGTTTTCATTTCGATTAAATCGAGAAAATATTCGTCAGTAACGTGTATACGAAATCTTACACGCACGAAGGCATTGCTCGTTTCTCTAGTCTCGACAGTGCCGTAGCTACGCGTGATCCTAGTACCAACTGTAATAGAGCAAACATTAATTAATGATTAATTTATAATTAACTTATAACTAATATTTCAACTTTGGTGCGTAGCTCTTAGCTTGACATCGTTTTCCAAAGATTTCTCTTTGGAAAACGATACCAATTACCAGGTCTCACCACGTGGAGGTAGCTACGCATCGAGACCCGACATGCGCCCTAGTGGCGCATCCTACTGGCGCTATCTGTATCAAAGGCACCCTAACCTAACTTGGAGCGAATAAAGTTAAAATGACTCTACTGACACTTTATTATATTTCGTGTCTTACAAAAGGGGTTTCGGTTCGGTATACTGAAACTCTACTGTCGCAACGCTAAGATATTTTCAAGTTCCCATAAAAATAGGGAATGAAATATCAAACACGCGAGCTAATAGAAAATCGCGTCCTGCTGGGCGGTTGCCGGCCAAGACAGACACTTCGCATCCCAGCCACACGGGGTAGAACTTAATCATCCCTGTGGTCTAACCGTAGATGGTACTAGTCCGTCAGCCAGCATGTGCCCGAGCCCAAGTCGCGTACGACTTAGGCAGCGGACCGCCCCGTCGAGGTCAGAAGACGCACTGATCCGAGGGGGTCTCCCTGGAACCCGATGCATGACGAGATTGACAGTGACTGGGAATGAGTGTCGGAGACGAGTCGTGAGGATGACTTACGAAGCATGTACTTATCCAGTACACGAGAGCACGTCGCGTAGGCTAGTCGCTACTTACGAACAATCACGACTATCGCGAGAACAATTATGTTCTGTTTGGTAAACGAAAGGGATAAGGGAATGTATATATTCGCTCCAAGTAAGGTGGTTTACCTGTGAACAGATAGCGCGCACATGAGACTTAGTCTAGTGATCTATCTTAGACCAACTTATAACTACTTAGGTCTAAACGCAAATCTGGAAAAATTTGAAAACCTAAAAAGAAAATATATAAACCTGAAAAGAAACAGATTAGTAATTGATTAGTACAATATAAACAAATATAATAAATAAAGTAAAACATAACAAAAGCGAAATGAATATAAACCACAATGATCAACCAAATGGAAGGAACAACCCAACGATGAGATATAAACATCCCAACGTTGAGACATAAACTATCCAACGACGAAACATTCGAATATTATACGAAATATTCGAACTGTCAGATAAAAATAGATAAAAACGAAAAAATATTATCTGAAAGGAAAAAAAATAGTTAGAATCTGAAAAAAAGAAAAATAATTAATGCCTGAAAAAAAAGGAAATTAATAGCTGTAAACAAAAAAGAAATGATTAGTAATGGGGTGGGGTGAGGGTGGGGGGGCCAACCCCAACCTCACTTCGAATCCCACCCCTCGCGCACAACGAAAAAGTAGATGTTACACTTCCGAAGTCGAACCGACAAATGGCTTCTGCTCCGTTGCGCCGCTCCTTATATAGCCACTGATCGGCCGAGCCCCCCCTCTCCGATCGGCAATTTTCGAACTTTACCGACGCCATTATTTATTATTTTTCCGCTTTAATAGCCAATAATTTATTAATTTTTTCACTTTTATTTCAAATATACGTTGCGAGCAATTTATTAATAACAATTAAAATTTTCTATTAACAATTGATGTAATTATTTATAGACTTTTTACAAATTATTGGTACATATTGACACAAATACGTTATAGGTTCGACTAAAACCAAATTATTTATCAATTTTTTTACTTGTATTATACATTTATGTTGTAAACAATTTGTCATTAACAATATTAACTTATTATTAACAATTAGTGTTATAATTTATAAACCTTTTGCAAATTATACATACATTTTGATATAAGTACGTCATAAGTTTAATTAATAGTCAATAATTTATTAATTTTTTCACTTTTATGATAAATTTACGCTGTAAACAATTTTATTAATATTTATTAATAATAAATTTGATAATTTATACATATTTTATAAAGTAAAACTGCATTCGTAACTCCATAAGATACATTTTTATGATACCTATACATATGTTAAAATATTTTTATTTCCTCTATATTCTTGGCTAAACGAAGTATTACATGCAAAATAAAAACGTTGAAAGATTCATTCTCATCTTAAATGTTAGGTGAAAATTTATTTTTGACCTACTTTATATTAAAAAGTCATTCGTATTTATCGAATAACGAACATATCACAAACGACAAGTGATTTAGAGAAATTTCTTATAATTTTATGATTACTATAAAAGACTACATGAGAATATATACATGTGATAAATATAGAAAATAAGATGTACTGTACGATAATTTTGGTGTCGACTACGCGTGACTACGGCCCTGACAAAGTTAGACATGCGAGTAATGGCTGCGTGGCGGCAAAACCCCTCTTACGAGTTCCCAATACATATTTTACCGTGCTGTAAATATTGAACATCATTCTGATATTGTTCCTGGATGGTTTCTTCTTCAGAAAAGTCTACAGAATACGCTACTGTATAGCAAATTCGTGTGAGATAAAGAAAATTTTGTAAAAATGCAACAACATGCGTAGAAAGCACGCTCGGAGGCTGTTTTTTAAATTTCGATGACCAATTGTAAGTATTCAGAAACACGAATAATTATAATTATGGACACTAACAAACTCCGGATACTCTCACCTAACTTGTAAAATAACAATGATCCTCCTAACGTTCTTACTTTTTACGTAATACTTAATTTCATCAAAAAATCCCGCCTTCTTAGAAAACTCCGGGTGATAGAGCAATCCGAATTAAAATTCAGGAATGTAAGCTCTACGAGAATCACCTATTATAAATTACAAGTTAGAGAAAAATTAAAAATTTGTTGGACTGTTATAGTGTTATCAGGGAATGTAGGACGAATGCGTACGCATTTAAAAATGGCGGTGATATGAGAATATAATAATTTATTACAATTCTGAATAATTACAAACTAACGTGCTCGATCTGCTTTTTGTAATTGACAATTTGCTTTTGTACACTAATTTTTCGTCTCCTGATATTCGGTACGCGACGTATCACGCTCGACAATAATTATTCTCATCGCGTGTACAGCCACGTTGTTAACAAGCTTATGCAGTCACCCCTTGTTGTCTTCCCTTAAAAGTCGCTTCCATTGGTGCTGCTTGTCCAATGAAATGTACAAGTACGAGAAAATGTTAGCATTTGTACTCATTATTGTTTAAACGATTACCATCCTACCTCCGTTCGGTGTGTTTGCATTGTGATATCGTGTATCGACGTACGCTTCTATCGTGAACGATGTCGAGTCGAATAACGTTATTTCCTTACATTTCATAATAACGAACGAATAACAACAGTAACGGTGTTTTATTTCGATTAACTTTCGGACGAATGCGAATTATTATGAGAGGTAATGGAGTACCAAATATTTTCGGGTGAAATGAAATAAAAGGAGAGTAATGATTTCCTACGTAGTTAGTTGGAACTAACTGTTTCTTACAAGTGTAATTTCTACTTCCTAAATCTAACGACATGACAGCGTGTACTATTTAATTAACTTTTTTTTGTATTTTACATTTGTTGCTGGTTTGATCGAAGTGACTAAAGGATTGCATTTTTACAACGTCATGTAACAATATGGAGTCATTCTGAACACTGTGGAGCATAGTCTTTTCTTTCTAAGTAAATAGAAGAACGGGTAAAAAAATAATATCGCAATAATTAATTGGTCGTATTTGTCATAAATGTTTCTAGCATGATGACACGTCTCTTATCTATAGATAAACAAATTTTAAGATCGCATGCTTCGTTCACTTTATTTACACCGAATAGCAGCAACGTATTCGGTTAACAATTTCAATTGTTGAAATTATTTCGAGTGTAATAAATGGAAGTAAAATAACGCGGAAGATACAGAGATTTGCGAGAAGAATACGGTACTTTGTTTTACCAATTGTCTTTAGCTTTACTTAAAAAGGAATCATAAAATGACTCAATGTTTAGAATCACTCGTGTACAAAGTATTCTTAAAGATATAACACCGGAACACAGTTGAAACATGAAAAATAAATCAGCCGATGCATTTCCCACGAATCGTACGATCATGATTCTTCCTTAATTATTCATAAACTTGGACGTGCGTGCAGTGGTTGCGGATACTTCCGGTTTACCAGGTCGCACGTATTTGTTATAAAATAAATTTTTATGACCGACGCGGGCACGTTAAACCATATCGATTTAGCCTTTTACATGTTACGTTTCAGAAAATTCCTATTTCCAACTAAATGTTAAAACGCAGAAACAGGAAACACGTTCGAACGTTTCCATGAACGTGGATCAATTTCTAATTGTTATTCTCCATCGGTTTTCTGCAATACAACGCTTTTTTGTAACCGAAGTATAACACTTAAATATGGCGTCACAATTTTCCTTCCCTTTTTGATTAATAAAAATGGCGAACGTGCAGGTCACAAAATATTTACCATACGATGAACTGAGAGTATTATACGTTTAGGTATACGTAACCAATTTTCCAATAAATAATTAAAAAGAGAGAGAGGGAGAGATGACACTAATATCGCAAATTTACTGGTAAAAGTGAAAGAATATATTTAATCTTATCGTGAATTCACTTGTTTGCTAGGGTATGACGATGTTGGTAGGTTTGAGCAAAACAGTACTTTTCTACTTAATCGTTGGTTCATCACGAATATCCTCAATTTTCTTTGAATTGTCACGAAAGCACACTCGCGAATATTTTGCACGATTAACGAAGGAAAGGCCAAAGGAAAATGACGAATTGGAGAATTTTAGTAACCATGGGTACATTCATTTTCGACTTTGGCAGCTTTTGTACGCTCGTCAGGTATTTACTAGTAAACTCACGATATATCGATGCTGACGGAATGATGCTAACGAAAAAACAGATTAACCGGTATTAATACTACCTATATTTTCAGTTAAACGCGTGGTTCATCTCCAAGAACGCTTTACAAGGTACTGAATAATTCCGAGTGATCCCCTATCACGTCATGACTAGGTTTTCGACAAGGGATTACTGATGCTCATTTGGATCGGGCTATTCGCATCCTGTTGCTCCTTCATCACATCCTCCTCGAATGTGTGCATGGACTCGTTACAGTATTCTTGGCCACAAATTTTGCACGCTTCGAAATGCGGCTTAATAGAGTTGCGTAATTTCTGAAAGACAAAGTAGGGAAATTATGGCGGGCGATGGCGCGTGGAATGAAATTTTAATCGGTGGCCCGCGCGAGGGTTCGCGTTATCGTACCTCGACACAAGTGTTGCCGTTGGCTCTGATGAACTCGTAGATAGCGAAAGCGGGAATGCAAATGAGCGAAAGAGAAGCTATTCCCCAGCCGATCGCCTCTGCCCACCACGGGTACTTGTACTCGCCGTTGTGGTAGGTCGGTGGTTCATAATCAATTAAGCTGAATACCCACACAGCCTGAAACAGTGATTTATGGGAATGTAGTGTGCGGCCAATGCTCAGTTTTCGTACAATGTTAAACTATTACGCGTTACTGCGATAATTGTAGGGTACATGAAAAATGCAACTACAAAAATTTAATTGATTCGTTCATTACACGTATATCAATTACCTTGGAAATGAAATATTTAATTAAACGAGAAAATATTCACAGTGCAGATTGAACTTTCATTTATTTTTATGCAAGAATAATATCAATCGTAATTAAATTTTCAGTGTTTTGATTACACATTAACGAACTGAACTAAACATTCATTATTTTATAAGAATAAATACTCAGAAATTTAAGTGTTTATTGCAATATGGTTTACGACTTTACTTTTTCCAAATATCTCTGTACAAAATGATTCGATTATAGCGAAGAAAGTGGCCTGTGAAAGGTCATCTCTGTACTTCTTTCTTTCCAAGAAGACATAAAATTGTTTTCAAAATATTGTCACGAGATATCATACGTATATAAATAAATTGCATTAACGAGATGTAAAATAAGCTTGATTAATTTAACGATTATACTTATTTCAGAATTTTATGATATGCATTCTAGCCACTGCTATCGTGTTTTCGTGTACTCGCAATGATCTCGCATTGAAGATTAAGTTTACCATAATAAGAAGAGGTGCAGCGATGAGCCAACAAAACCGGAAGTACGAGGACGGAACGCGTCCAGTCATTTCTTTCACGTTATTGCACAATCGTCGAACGCCATAACACCAGGATATCGCGATTACTTCGGAGAAAGCTAAAAACATTATCGATATCGAGGCAGCATAATGGTCTATTAACTGGAAAAAGTAAATGCCACCCTGGAAATAAAAAGAACATACAGAAACTTCATTAATAAAACTATAAATCTCGCAAATATTAATTCTAAATTTATTTACACGATATTCAAATATTTACTACGACTCGAAAAAATTTCTGGCATAATTTATTTTATACCACGTAACATTCTTATTTAACATACATCCTGGATGATAAATTTTTATTTATATCCCGCAAGCTGTTCCTCCACCAGCAGGTGGAGAGGATATGACGAATACAATTTATGTCACATTTATGTAATACGTTTGCATAATAAATGGTTTTCACGTTACAAATCAATGCTTCCCAGAATCATTTTATCTTATCGAACGCTTTACTAACAATGTATCTTACCTGTGAGATATTGGGTAGACCAAACAAAAACGATATGACGCATACTAAAAGTACTAACATTTCGTGACACACGAGATGACGTTTCACCCATTTTGGAAAGCCATCCTGTATCGACGTTACGACTACTTCCACTATGGCGAACTGAAATCATTACAAAAGAGCGAAATTATTCTGTGAAATTAGGTTTAAAATCACACTATCGATGCGAACTATTCGTCGCGATCGATTAAACGAAATATTTATATTTATATTATTCGATATTACCACGTACCTGACTATTCAAAGAAAGGCAGACTAGCATAAAGAAAAATAACACGGCCCACACTTGCGATGCTGGCATCTTGGCTAACGCTTGCGGGTAAACAACGAATACGAGGCCAGGTCCTTGAACGGAAATTATGATTTGTCTATAAAATTGTAGGAGAAGTTAATCTGACATTGACTGACACCACCCAGACGAAATAATGTACAATATTTGTATTCCATTCGATTAAGCGACCAAATATTCAACGTTACGTCCCTTCAAACCTTATTATCGCTCGTGGTAATCGATTTAGTGCGATTAATCGAATTTTCCAAAAAGTAATTGCTCTAACGTCATCTTGCTCGAAGCGCGTTTATTTATATCAATGACAGCGAAGCGTCTTATTGGAGCAATGTTTTGTTTGCACGATAATGTATTATTAAGACTGAGATTATAATTGCTAAGTGATAAACGGATGCTTGTACGTACCATCTGTTAAAACATCTTCGACAGACATATTTTGTTCGAGAGCGATGTTGCCGATGGTCGCAAATGAAAATATTCCGACGAGTAGGCTGCTGAACGCGTTTATGAGAGAAACAGCCACGCTGTCCACTAGGATGGTGTTGTGGAACTTGTTGTAGCTCGCGAAACATATCATTGAACCAAATGCTATGCCCACGGAATTGAAAATTTGAGCTGTTGCGTAGATCCAAACCTACGCACGATACAACGATTTAACGAGGGACATAATACAATTTTACAAAGCGCGTAAATTATAACTTTCTTTCGTCGCCATTCCAAATTTTCGAATATTTTTCTCTGCGCATCTGACGTCTGATAAATCGAATCGTAAAAGAAACGGTGTTCTTACGTATTTGAGAAATACATAGAAATTCTTTACATACTAAATACTCTATGAGGTTAGCTATTGTACAGTTCTTTATTATTTTAGTATTCTATTATTTAGTATTTATTAGTACTTATTTTAGTACCCATTAGTACTTATTTTAGTGCTCATTAGTACTTATTTTAGTACCTATTAGTACTTATTTTAGCACTCTGTTATTTAGTACTTATTTCAGTACTTATTAGTCATTATTTTAGTGCTCGTTAGAACTTATTTTAGTACTCTATTATTTAGTACTTATTTTAGTACCCATTAGTACTTATTTTAGTGCTCATGATTTAGTAATTATTTTAGTACCTATTAGTACTTATTTTAGCACTCTGTTATGTAGTACTTATTTCAGTACTTATTAGTCCTTATTTTAGTGCTCAGTAGTACTTATTTTAGTACTCTGTTATTTAGTAATTGTTTTAGAACCTATTAGTACTTATTAGTACTTATTTTAGTACCCTTAGTACCTATTAGTACTTATTTTAGCACTCTGTTATTTAGTACTTATTTCAGTACTTATTAGTCCTTATTTTAGTGCTCATTAGAACTTATTTTAGTGCTCATTAGTACTTATTTTAGTACTCTGTTATTTAGTAATGATTTTAGAACCTATTAGTACTTATTAGTACTTATTTTAGTACTTATTAGTACTTATTTTAGCACTCTGTCATTTAGTACTTATTTCAGTACTTATTAGTCCTTATTTTAGTGCTCGTTAGAACTTATTTTAGTACTCTATTATTTAGTAATTATTTTAGTACTGATTAGTACTTATTTTACTACTCTATTATTTTTACTATTGTTGCATGACATATTAACCCTTTGCACTCGGCGATCTTTTCGGTTACAGAAACATAGTAATTCGAAAACTTTCTGCCATAAAGTCGACGATATTTTCCAGACGGTAAATAAAAAGCGCAAATTACCAATAGGACGTAGAATTATTTTGCCTCGATATTCCACGCAACGTTGGGCAATTTTTAAATTCGAGATATTAATTAATAACGATCTTTAGATTCTGATTAAATGGCGACTGAGAGTCGCCTCTCGAGTGCAAAGGGTCAATACAGTCAGTATTTAGAGAGTCACAGGTAAGGATTTTTCTCGCGAAACTAAAGAAAGTTATTCGAGTTACACACGTGACATAGAAATGTTTTCGAATCGTACGCGAAAGGAGACATTTTCCTCGTGAGTTACATTGCCTTTTAGCTTCAGACTTGACTGTACAATACGTTGTCACGTTGAAGTAACTCAGATCGTAGGTATTTTATCAAATGGTATATATGTATCTGTCGTCAAAGAGCGAGGAAAGAATTCCTGGGTTACCTTCGCGTCGCTGAGCAGCTCCCAACGAGGGCGGAAGAAAAATTGCAGACCCTTGTCAGCACCTTCAAGGGTAAGGGACCGCATGAGGAAGACGACGATTAAAAGAAATGGCAGAGTCGCGGTCAGGTATCTCACTTGTGCCGACGATTTTATGGACTTCCAAACGGAGAAATATACCATAATCCAGGCAGTAATCAGACAAGCAACGAGCTCCCATCTTAATGCCCCTGACTCTTCAATTCCATTACTGATTTGGAGAACTTTGTTGCTGAATCACCAAGTAGAAGGAAAAAGAAGAAATAACAAAAATAAATATTCACAATCAACGAAACATTTTAAATTATAAGTAATTCTAATAATAAATTATAACTAAATTTTAAATCATAATTAAATATTCGAAATTATTTCATAATAAAAGATGAAATTTCAGGAAAAATTAAAACGAAATATTATGTGAAAATATTTTAAGATAATATCGAATAGAATGCTTCGAAATGTATGATTGGCAAGTGATTTCGTAATTGAAAAAATTACTCGAAGAATTCCTCGGCCGGTGTTCTAGATGCATTTGGTCTTGTTCGATTATTGATGGTACTGTAACTGGGTAACCAACATGCCAGAGTGTTCCATGAGTTGTCGCAGTCAGACCACGGTTGCTTTGCCCTGAACGCCGCAAAGAAGTAATATATGGCGTAAGCTATTATCACATTGTGGTAGGTCGACATCAAAAATGATATTACTACCGAAGATAAACCAGCTCCTGTTTTGACAAACAAAATCGATTCGTTTCTGTTCGCTTCTCGGGTGAAATATGGAAAGAGGATTGGAAATATATATAACGAGTTTAAATGAATTATATAAAAATGTGGTTTTTAATAAAAATAAATTTTAAGTGGAATAAAATAAAATTTTACGAGACATAGAGATACCAAACGATCTTAAAACGATTTAACATAATTGAAAATATTAATACACGTATCAGAATAATTTTTAGAAATTTATTATTTCAATATAATATTATGTTATAAACTGATATAGCATAAATTTATTTATATAGTGTAAATATATTACAATAAATTTATCTAATATAATATATCGAATAATAATAAATATTGTCGTTATATTGTATAAAAATTGGATATACCTTTAAACAAGGGACAAATTTGACCAATGGCACCGATCGGTCCTCGTCGTGTGAATTGCCCAATACTAAGTTCCATGTACAACAACGGTACTCCACATACTATAAGTATTAAGAAGTAGGGTATCAAGAACACACCTGAAAAATTTCATTAACATCATTCAGCAACAGCCACCTAAGACGTCTAAAAATAATTTCAATTGTCTTACGCATAATTCTCTGAATTAAAAATTTCTCAACCGTATGTACAAAATAATTCCAAACAATTTTAAACCAAACTTCGCGAGATAAATAAAAGATCCACGAGATTAAAACTTGACAAGTTTACCTAACGATTAAATTTTCTCATTCTGAATTTTGAACCGGAAATGGCCTCGCATCTCGAATTTCATACCGATTTAAGAATTTTCATACGAGAATAATTTCGCATTTCTAATTACACTAGCCCCTTCTCAACCCTTGGTATTTACAATAACGAGTCTAACTCGTTGCTAATTCTTCGTTGTCAAATTTCAGAATTATTTGCTAATATGAGTCGTTCACTGCACAAATCGATTACCTCCACTTTTTGAAAAATCTTAAATATAGAAAGTTACGTCTATACCGAGTAATTTGACACCTAAATTTAAGATTCTTCAAAAAGTGGAGTTAATCGATTTGTGCAGTGAACGGCTCATATATAGCTAATAATTTTAACCCCCTTGCAGTACGATTCGATTTATTTCATCCGCGACGAAATTGGACAAAAATTTTCGAAATTCCCCAAATTTTGTTCTCGTTGCAATATGTTAAATACAGTTATGGTCGCGTGATATATATGAGCCGTTCACTGCACAAATCGATTACCTCCACTTTTTGAAAAATCTTAAATATAGAAAGTTATGACTATACCAAGTGCTTTGATACTTAAATTTAAAATTTTTCAAAAAATGGAGTCATATATATCACACGATCATAACTGTATTTAACATATTCCAATGAGAACAAAATTCGGGGAATTTCGAGAATTTTTGTCCAATTTCGTCGCGGATGAAATAAATCGAATCGTACAGCAAGGGGGTTAATTTATCATCGTGTGTGTACATCACGAAGTCCGACATTCTTCGTTCATAGATATTTTCTTTTTCCAAATCCCTTTACTCGTTTGACGAATAAATCCTAATTACACGAGCCCCTTCTCAACTCTTGTTATTTACAATAACGAGTCTAATTCGTCGCTAATTCTTCATTGTCAAATTTCAAAATTATTAGCTATATATGAGTCATTCACTGCACAAATCGATTACCTCCACTTTTTGAAAAATCTTAAATATAGAAAGTTATGACTTTACCAAGTGCTTTGATACTTAAATTTAAAATTTTTCCAAAAGTGGAGTTATATTATATATATGTCATATATATCACGCGACCATAACTGTATTTAACATATTCCAATGAGAACAAAATTCGGGGAATTCCAAGAATTTTTGTCCAATTTCGTTGCGGATGAAATAAATCGAATCGTACTGCAAGGGGGTTAATTTATCATCGTGTGTGTACATCACGAAGTCTGACGTTTTTCGTTCATGAATACTTCCTTTTTCCCAATCCCTTTTCCCGTTCGACGAATAAAAACGTCGTTACTAAATCTGCGTGTAATGTGGATTTATTAAAGGTTGCATTAAACACGACTCGTACGTAATAGTACTCGCCGTTAATCGTCATTCTGTGGGCAGTAACAAGGTCACTGGATGTAACTCTTTATTCGTAATAAACGGTGATCATGGTGCCGTGGATTACGACTTAATTTCGGAACAAGCATTTAATCCGGCCAAATTGCTGAAATGCGTTATTGTTTTTCACAACAGACCGTACACGTGCAGGTCTGCCGTTTCCCATTGTCGTATATCGTTTTTCGAAACTCGTTAATTGGCCTGGTAATTGGTGGCTCGTGTCGCGTGGTTCTTTACGATCTCTCGAATTAAGCAAATTTATTCGTTTCCTTCTTCCAACGTCACACGTATCTACTACTCTGTGTTAGGGCGATCTTTCAGGTAACGAGTGTTACTCACGCGATAAATCAGGCACCTGCAAGGTCGGAGATAAGCGAATTTTCGACAGAAAAATTGGTCATTGTTAAAGTAATTTTTTAGTATACGAATTATTGGTGGATGACTCTGCATTTTCGATTTCTATAGTTCTCGATATTTCAGCATTATAAATATCGCATTGTTTATAAAATTATCGCGAATATAATACATTATATTTTAATATAGAAAATTCGTATTTTACTCACGCGAAAAATTAGACACCTGCAAGATTGAAGAAAAGCGAATTTTCGACAGAAAAATTGGTCATTGTTAAAGAACTTTTTCGGTGTACAGTGAATTATTGGTGTAAGACTGTTAATCTTTGATTTCTATAGTTCTCGATATTTCAGCATTCCAAATATCGCATTGTCTATAAAATTATCGCGAATATAATATATTTTATATTTATATTTATATTTAATTTTCCATCATTGTTAGAAATATTGCGTTGCCTCTGACGTTGTAATATAATATATTTCATAGTTATGGCTATATTTTAATATAGAAAATTCCTATTTTTATTCACATTTAAATATGTAATAAATATAGCGATGGACTTAAACTTTAAAAAGCATAGATTGTTCAAATTCTTGGAGCTCCATGAAAGCAAATGAATAATGCAAATATATGTTTCTTTACTTCCATGCAAAATTCAGTGCATAATTATCACATAATCTGTGTTGCTTCCTGAGGCTTCGAAACTTTAATATATTTACCTTAAAATTTATTTTAATATTATTTTTATATTAAAATATAGAATATATACTATCCATTTACAAATATCATTTTACTTTCAAATGCTGATATAAAATTCTTTTTAATTACGCTATACTATACGTTACTATAATACGAATAATAATAACAACGTAGAATAAAATATTTATATTATATTATTATATCTATCATAACGTAATGCATTTTTCATATTCCTTGTAAGTTAATTAAAACAGAGACTATGAAATTACACGTGTGTTCGGATTTTTTAATTAATTATTCTTTTTATTGATTATCACCAATTATTCTTTCACCTCGTTCTCCATCTCCCACGCTTTTCTCGTTAATTTCTCGTCCACGATGGCTTACGATAAATTCGGAGTATCTGTTTGCTGAAATTCGCTCACGTTTTCCAGATACTGTAACGATTATTGCTTCCGTTTGTGTCATTGAAATATTTCGCGCCGCGTCAGTGCGCCTCACGCATATGTAAATTAATTCTACGAATGTTATACCGTGCTAGTCGAACAAATCAGACAGCATTCTCTGATCTGACTTCGTGATTCACGCCGCAAGTTGATTAACAAGGTTCATCATACGCGAACGTTGTAACGGATATTGTAATCCCGCCGTAATAAATTCCATAGCTGTGTCATTTTTCCAAAAAGCGTCTGTAAAAATAATCCCCCGGTACTTTCCCGTTAGCTCGATTATTTTCTATTTATTCGTTCGCAGGGAAACAGTGTCGCCAGGTTTTCCGTATTTTATTCTTTGATCAGAAACGACTCTTTGAATGCGAGAACTCTCGGCAAGCACCGTAAATGTATCCCACCAAATAGAGGTGATAACGTTAATTTCCGTGGAGTTTTCATTCCCGCCTTTCAGCACGGATTTTCCCACGAAAACGTAAATGAACACCGGTCGCATAAATACGCCGCGAGCCTCATGCAAATCAGAGTGCTCTGCCTCTGTGTATACTACAAATCTCCGTTCCGCTCCACGCTTTTCCAAAAGTGTTTTCTGCTTTATTTCTATCCCCCTTTTATTTGTTTATGCGGTTTTTTAGCGACGTAAAATATTTATGCGACACGGGGAGTATGAAATTTTGAAAATTGAAAGTGGCACAGATTTTCATCTTCATCGAATGGTGTAATATTTTACGACCTTTTTGTCATGCTATACCCGTGAGGTATTACGCTACGATTTTTCTACATGCGAGAAATTTGGTTCTATTAAAGATGTAACAGTGATTACTGACATTCGAAATTTGTATGCGTGTACTTGAAAATGTGAAATTTTAGAGCGTAAATGCGGTGTAATTTATTGAGATTTAATTACTGAAACATTTTCATGTTTTTATTTCGCGTTTGGTTTCGGATTTTTTGGTTTTGATTTTACCTATAAATATTCTGTTACTCGAATCTTCTAATATCTAAACATAAATGTGGATTACTCTTGTTATTTTCATATGAAATTGCTATTATATTCGATAACACTTTGGATGCAATGGTACTACAGAAGAAATCATATTGAAAAATAGCAAAAGATTTTAAAAATGTATACCATTAAAGGCATTACTTATTTCAATAAAAGAAGCTTCATAAATAACCAAAAAATTATTATATTCATACATCTTACATTTTATTACTATTATTATAGGATTACTCATTTTAAAGTACAAAGTAATCCACATAAAAATATATAGAAGACGTTTTACAAATTAAGAATGGCTATCATAATACCTATTTTCACAAAAATTCTCATAAGTAATCAAAAAGCTATTGCATTCGCATAACATCTTATGCACTACTACCAACATCGATATTGTCTCCTCCAAAATAAAAAATAGGTTCCATAAAAAAACAGGAGGTATTTCACAAATTAAAAACAGATATTAGAATACATATTTTCACAAAAATTCTCAAAAGTAACCAAAAATTTATGATATTCTCATAACACCTTATACTCTACTACCACCATTGATATTGTCTCCTCCAAAACGCAAAATAATCTTCATAAAAAAATAGAAGACATTTTACAAATTAAGGATAGCTATCATAATACTCATTATCATAAAAGATCCTCATAAGTAACAAAAAAAAATTATTATATTCGCATAATACCTTATACTCTACTATATATAACTATCGATATTGTCTCCTCCAACATACAAAATAGGTCCCATAAAAAACAGGAGGTATTTCACAAATTAAAATCTAGAATTAAAATGCTTATTTTCATAAAAGATCCTCACAAGTAATTAGAAAACTATCGCATTCGTATAACACATTATACTCTACTACCATTATCGACACTGTCCCCTCCAAATCACAAAATAATCCTCAAAAAATACAGTAGACATTTTATAAATTAAAAACTGGCATTAAAATGCTTATTTTCATAAAGTAATACTTAAACTCTATTACCACTATCGACATTCTCTCATGAAAATTACAAAATAGTCCTCAATAAATACAGTAGATATTTTATAAATTAAGGACTGGCCCTAAAATGCTTATTTTCGTAAAAGGTCCTCATAAATAACCAAAAAACTATTATATTCGCATAACACCTGATACCCTACTAGAAATAGTTCTCAAAAAATACAGTAGACACTTTATAAATTAAAAACTGGCCCTAAAATGCTTATTTTCGAAAAAGATCCTTATAAATAACCAAAAAACTATTATATTCGCATAACACCTGATACTCTAATAGAAATAGTCCTCAAAAAATACAGTAGGCATTTCATAAATTAAAAACTGGCCCTAAAATGCTTATTTTCGAAAAAGATCCTTATAAATAACCAAAAAACTATTATATTCGCATAACACCTGATACTCTAATAGAAATAGTCCTCAAAAAATACAGTAGGCATTTCATAAATTAAAAACTGGCCCTAAAATGCTTATTTTCGTAAAAGATCCTTATAAATAACCAAAAAACTATTATATTCGCATAACACCTGATACTCTAATAGAAATAGTCCTCAAAAAATACAGTAGGCATTTCATAAATTAAAAACTGGCCCTAAAATGCTTATTTTCGTAAAAGATCCTTATAAATAACCAAAAAACTATTATATTCGCATAGCACCTGATACTCTACTAGAAGTAGTCCTCAAAAAATACAGTAGACATTTCATAAATTAAAAACTGGCTCTAAAATGCATATTTTCATAAAAGATCGTCATAAAGGACCAAACAACTATTATATTCGCATAACACCTGATACTCTACTAGAAATAGTCCTCAAAAAATACAGTAGATATTTTATAAATTAAAAACTGGCCCTAAAATGCTTATTTTCGTAAAAGATTCTCATAAATAACCAAAGAAATATTATATTCGCATAGCACCTGATACTCTACTAGAACCATCATCGAATCTCTTTTACAACACGAAATAATGCTGATAAAAAAAAGAGACAAATGTTCCATTATCCAATAACTCCCCTATCCAAACACCCTCTGTCTCTCTATTAACTCGTATACCCTATGTTCTATGGTACTCGCGACAATTAGCCGAAACTTTCAGCCAACCGAGTCGCTGGCAGTTTGTTATTGAAGAGAGCGTGTTAGTTGGCCATGCTGAAATCAAACCGTGCCACACGCTCTGGTTTTCCGGCCGTCCAATTTAACGAACGGTTGGTCGAAATGATACTTGACCGATTATTTCCACCGGTGTCATTGAAATCATTTGCGATGCTCGCCGGTTTAGCTACGTTCCGGCAAGGTCATGTATCAAGTTCCGCGAGCGAATTGCCCCATGTCCGGACTCTGTCGAGATGCTCTTAGACTTTGAAAATTACCGGTAACACGACACTCGCGCACTCGTGTTACGGCTTGCCGAACCAGGAGAACGCGTGTCCTTGCTCCGAATATGCCCGCCATCGTGTGCAAAGAGGGATGCTTAGAGAAAAAATGGCGGCGGGACGCCTTCACGGCTCACACTCGGACCGAGAGAGATTAGTTTTGTCCAAGATTCTATACAGGCCCCTTTGTCACGGGTATTATAATTAACAGAGTTGCTCTTGCACTGTTCTTGGATATAAAGAGAATATTCTTCAGGGAATTTGATATACTATCAAATCTTGAGCAGACAACGAGATTCAGAACTTAACACTGGAAGTTAGATGGCGAATTACCAGACAAGATTAGAAATTTTGCACCGAAATTAACACAATTGGTATAAATTTTCTATTTTTACTCTCACTCAAACGAAAACTTTTACTTTCCTCATTTTCCTAGATTTTAATCATTATCGTAATTATTTATCATAGTGCAGAGTTAGCTATTATAGCGATAGATAGTTTAATTCAAGAAACATAGATTTTCTTGTAAAGAAATTACTTTATTTCTTTATTACTATCAAATCTTGAGCAGACTGCGAGATTTAGAATTTAACACTGCAAGTTAGATGGCAAATTTCCAGACAAGATTAGAAATTTTGCACAATTGGTATAAATTTTCTATTTTTACTCTCACTCAAACGAAAACTTTTACTTTCCTCATTTTCCTAGATTTTAATCATTATCGTAGTTATTTGTCATAGTGCAGAGTTGGCTATTATAGCGATAGATAGTTTAAATCAAGGAACATAGATTTTCTTGTAAAGAAATTACTTTATTTCTTTATTACTATCAAATCTTGAGCAGACAGCGAGATTCAGAACTTAACACTGGAAGTTAGATGGCGAATTACCAGACAAGATTAGAAATTTTGCACTGAAATTAACACAATTGGTATAAATTTTCTATTTTTACTCTCACTCAAACGAAAACTTTTACTTTCCTCATTTTCCTAGATTTTAATCATTATCGTAATTATTTATCATAGTGCAGAGTTAGCTATTATAGCGATAGATATTTTAATTTAAGGAACATAGATTTTCTTGTAAAGAAATTATTTTAGTTCATGCTAAATTAATTTAAATTTATATTATACGATTAATTCCAGTTTGAAGACGAGGATGTGAAAATTGGGAAGAATAGAGTGCTCTGAAATATCGCTTAAAACGCTATAGTTATTAGTAAATTAGCTTCCTTATAAACCTGTGCATCGCATAACGAAAGTTTTATATACTATTATAAAAGCAAGTATACTTTGTTTATGGCTTAAAACCGCACAAAATATTATACTGGACGATGAAAAGTTTACTATAGCAACTCTTAAAACCAGAACGAGTATAGCTCCCCTGGATTATAAATAAAGATAACGAAGATTTATCGATAAAAGCATTAAATAACTAAAGAAATCTGCATCATTAACTAGTCTCTCTGTGCAACCAATAATTACTATTACCCATTAATCATCTTACCTTATCCCACTTACACAACGAGCAGGGTAAGATAAAATAAGAAAATAAATAATACCACGGATATCTGTTTCATAGGAATAAATACTGTTTGATACGAGTTCTAAATTAAACGTTTGACACATTTATCACGGTGACACAAAGTATGCGATATCTCGTGCATTATTACGCGCCGTGGCACATAAAGAAAACTTATACGGAAAAATAAAATTGATTAGATCACGTTCCCGTCGTTTATGTCAATAAATTGCCTACTGTCCCGATTCATGCTTCGAATCAATTTACACCGAGAGATACAAACGAGAAGACGAAGCAATAATCGTACGTGAAATCGCATCATTTTTCCACGATTACACGTAACACTGGAAAATCGCGTTGCGTAACGCTCCATGTTTAAATCGTTTTTCTTTCGGCAGTTTTTAGTTCGCTTTTCGCATGAGTGACACGTTTCACACCGGCAATGCAAATAATAAACACGTATTCTTATCACTGGCGCACTAATCGTAACAGACGTATGTGTGTCAGAACCACGATCCAGCACGTACAAATTTGCTTCGAACCATCTGTTCGAAGTGCTAACACGAAAATAGTGAGAAACCATAGCACATCTGTGCCTGTAATTATGAAAGTGGTCTAAGAGTATATATAAAAAGAACGATTTTATTATTTACTTCGTGTTGCATTCATTTATGTTACGATAAAATATATTTATTTTCTACAAAACAGTGAAGAATTGAATCGTTAGATTGAGTTTGCAGCTTTGTCGCAACTAATTTTATAATTTATGTGGTATTTAAAGGCCGAAGCTTTTAATGTTTCAGAAGCAAATATAAGTGACTTAGACCATTTTCATAATCATAGGCACATTTCTCGCTATTCGCCAACTATATTTACCCATCGTATGCAAAAGAGTATATTTTGTTAAAATTTTGTCAAAATTATATTCCGTAATTTTATGCACGAATTTATGAACGATAAATTACTGGTGATAGGATAATTCGTAAATTTAGAAATTTTAGGATATCAGGACACCGCAGATTACGTTGCCGAATTTCCATTCGAACAGAAGTATAATTTTCTTGGGAAACCATAGCACGTTTCTCGCTATTCGCCAACTATATTTACCTATCGTATGCAAAAGAGTATATTTTTGTTAAAACTTTGTCAAAATTATATTCCGTAATTTTATGCACGAATTTATGAACGATAAATTACTGGTGATAGGATAATTCGTAAATTTAGAAATTTTAGGATATCAGGACACCGCAGATTACGTTGCCGAATTTCCATTCGAACAGAAGTATAATTTTCTTGGGAAACCATAGCACGTTTCTCGCTATTCGTCAACTATATTTACCCATCGTATGCAAAAGAGTATATTTTTGTTAAAACTTTGTCAAAATTATATTCCGTAATTTATGCACGAATTTATGAACGATAAATTACTGGTGACAGGATAATTCGTAAATTTAGAAATTTTAGGATATCAGGACACCGCAGATTACGTTGCCGAATTTCCATTCGAACAGAAGTATAATTTTCTTGGGAAGCTCGTTACCCCTTCAGCTGCATTTACAAGTGAAATTATGCAAACGTATGCAGGTACTCACCACCGCCACTTTTGTAGCACAGGTAAGGAAACCTCCAAACATTCCCGAGGCCAACGGAGTAACCAATACAAGCAAGGACAAATTGCACTTTGTTGGCCCAGTGTGGTCGTCTCGATTGCCTGTAGTCTCCGGGGTCTTGAGCGTCATCTTCAGCGTCGTCGAAGCTGGTACACACGGACAAGTCATCCTCGAATGATCTGAAATCGGATCGATACACACAGGTTACCCATAAATGCAATTGTTAGTCTGCGAGTCACATCCTCGACGTGCAAACCGAGTCGCTTCTCTAAATAAAATTGGGTCGGAGTTAATTCTCCGAATGTTCATTCCTTTTTTGTAATTTTCTCACTTTTACCAAACACGTCGAGTGTATAAAATAACTGTATTATTTTCCCTATTGCTATTTATGTATTTTTATTTCAAAATTTTTATTTTAGTCCCTTTGAATTTCAAAGGTCGATTTTAATTAATATATCAATTTTAAATTACCCAATGATGCTTGTATGTCGATAAAATAATTCTACGTCTTAATTTGCATACGATTTCTTATTCACCGTTTTAAAAATATCCTCGACTTTGTGACAGAAATCTTCGAATTTTACTATTTTACTATTTTTCTGTGACGAGAATGAATGCAAAGGGTTAATACGTATCTTAATTTTCTCGAATTCTGGGAAATTAATAATATTTTTAGGTGTTACAGAATAAATAGACTGCGAAACAATTTTTTGGAAATAATAAAATATCACGGAAGTGTGTACAGTGTATAGACATCATCCTCGAAGAATTACGAAAACGATTAATTTGTTAATTAATTAAAAATTGTAATTAAAGGCGAGTTTAAGATTTTTGATTTTTCATGGGATAATTGGTTACCGATGTTTGCTGTATTTTGATGGTTAATTGTTTCGTGTACGAGTATGGAAGATGCTTAAGTTGTTGCAACATTTTCAACATCTCCCAGCTTCAAAATTAATTCTACGAAGTACCAATGCGCTGTTCGATCTGCTACGTTAGAAATGTCAAAACAGTTCAAACGCACTCGACACGAATTAGATATTCAAACAGTCAGTCAATTTACATGAAGCACATAACGAACGATATTATGCAAGTCATTGCATATTTATCGAGCACTCGATACGCGTTTCGCCTGTCGATTCGAAGACGACACGCCTTTTATCAAATGCATCAAACATAATATTCATTCACGAATATTTTACGAATATTCATCGTTTAAAACACTCGATACATGTCCCGCCTGTCGATCCAAAGACGACACGCTTTCTGCCAAACGCACCAAATATAATATTTATTCACCGTGTATTTCATGAATATTCATCGTTCACCGATAAATCCATCGATAATTCATCTACTCTAATCTATTTGAAAATAAAAAATAAAATTTTTAGAACCAATGAATAAAATGAATAGATTCACGAGTGAAAATTATTATTTTTCTTTTAAGCTAAATTATAAATTTTTAGCCAATAAGTGGTTTATAAATAAAAATTATATTTCCTTGCAATTGATAGTAGATAATAGTCGATTAAATGTGAAAAATAATAAAAATAAAGAAAAGAAATTATATTCGTTCATTATCTGCGTTTTAAATAAGTAAACAGAAAATAAGAAACGAGCAATAAATCGCCTAATTTTGTATACTGAAAATGTAATAGCATTTCATTGCTGCTCATGGTACTTTACACAGATTACAGCTTTCGCCATTGCAATTTTTCCACAATCGTATTCCTTACTGTCGAAAAAGATTTCAATGGTTTTATTAACCTCGCAACATCTTATTTGGCGTGCGGTAAAAGAGGATCAATTTTTCAATCAAATAATCAGTCATGATTGATGAAGCAGGCTATACACGAACCTCAAAAGAAGCAGAATAAGACGATAGCTACTGAAAATCTGATTACACCGATATTACATAAAAATTCTTCGAGTCAAGTGCCGAGCTCCATAAAATCGCATACAAAATCCTCAACGAGAACTTAACAAAATTTCTCAAATTTTTATCAGCTTAAAAACACAATCGGTTTAATATTAACCCTTTGCACTCGACGATTTTTTAGCTAGAAAAGAGTAGAAATTCAAAGATTTTCTACCAAAAAGCTGACGATACTTTTTCGAGCAGTAAATAAAGAATTGTATAATAATAGAATTGTAGAATTATTTGATTTCGATACCTCGTACACTGTTACATTACATTAAGTTTGACATATTCGTTAATATCGATGTTCCAAATTCGATGAAATGGTGACTGAAGATCATCTCTCGAGTGCGAAGGGTTAAAACCAAAATCATCTCGAGCGAGAACTATTTTCCTTCATTTTCGATCACCTAAGGATCAGACAAAGCATGTCAATAGTATCCTAATTTTAGGTGAAGTAAAAAGAAATCCATTATTTTTGCATGAAATCGAATGAATTAGGTATAGTAAAAATGAATGATTAGATATTAGGTATTAGGTAAAGTAAAAATGAATGATTTTGCATCAAATTGAATGCAAAAATAATGGATTTCTTTTTATAAATACAAATACTGGAATATTCAGGTGGTGGCCAACATTGTTAACTTACTTTGTCTTTCCTTATATTAGGTGTAGTAAGAAGAAATCCATTATTTTACCTAATACCTAATCATTCACTTTTACTTTACCTAATATCTAATACCTAATCATTCATTTTTACTTTACCTCATACCTAATACCTAATCATTCACTTTTACTTTACCTAATACCTAATACCTAATCATTCATTTTTACTTTACTTAATACCTAATACCTAATCGTTCATTTTTATTTTACCTAATACCTAATACCTAATATCTAATAGTTCATTTTTACTTTACCTAATACCTAATACCTAATCATTCACTTTTACTTTACCTAATACCTAATACCTAATCGTTCATTTTTACTTTACCTAATACCTAATATTTAATCATTCATTTTTACTTTACCTAATACCTAATCATTCATTTTTACTTTACCTAATACCTAATACCTAATACCTAATCATTCACTTTTACTTTACCTAATACCTAATACCTAATCGTTCATTTTTACTTTACCTAATACCTAATATTTAATCATTCATTTTTACTTTACCTAATACCTAATCATTCATTTTTACTTTACCTAATACCTAATACCTAATCGTTCATTTTTATTTTACCTAATACTTAATACCTAATATCTAATAGTTCATTTTTACTTTACCTAATACCTAATACCTAATCATTCACTTTTACTTTACCTAATACCTAATACCTAATTGTTCATTTTTACTTTACCTAATACCTAATACCTAATTGTTCATTTTTACTTTGCCTAATACCTAATACCTAATCGTTAATTTTTACTTTACCTAATACCTAATACCTAATAATTCATTTTTACTTTACCTAATACCTAACACCTAATCGTTCATTTTTACTTTACCTAATATTTTCTCTGTAATTATATCATACCTGTTACAAATCCTAGTTAAATTTATGAAATCTGGTCAAAGAGACGTATGTCCACATATAACCATCCTCGCATCTCTCGCTTCGTTTAAGGTCACACTGGCACGCGATCCACGTGCAGGCCCTTCTTCCGCTTACGAAACCGAGGAGAAACCGGTTACCTTTGACCACCGTTGCTGGTACCTAGCCTACGGTCGAGGTAAATCGGCGGAAGTAGCGATGATCCATGGAAATCGAGAGGACGTGAGAAATTGGTGGTGAGCTCGTCTTGATGAACGTCAACGAAGGAAAAAAGAAGATCGGGCAGCAAGGGGCCTTATTATGATTAACGATCGTGCGAAACAGGGGGTACAACCGGCGAACGACCTTGATACCCGGGTATTACGTAAGCGGGCAAGAACGAAGAAGAATTTTTACGAGTTTATCGCGTCCACGCGATGTGCGACACGGTGGATGCAGAAACCATGTCGCGCTATGACGGTGAGAGTTATGGCAATTGACAGAGCTCGATAATAAATACGACACACCTGTGTAAATTCCTCGGCGATGTTTCGCAATGTGAAGACAATGCACGAATGATTACGCGATCAACGGGGTAATAATAATAAGTTATCATATATATATATGCACACACACGTGTGTGTGTGAACAGGCGTCGCAGTTAAATTTCAAACGGACACGCGAGCATCCATCGCAGCATAATTTCAGTCGGTTTTGTTTGTAAGCGCGTTAACAGTCGTGGTGACGTGACAAAAATAGAATTTTAAATTTGCATTTTTTCGCGCGAGATTTGACTAGTAGCCTTGCCAGACGTGATAACGAATTGGTTTAACAACGTTGCGCAGAAGATGCATATTTACGAGCGATGACTGATGAAATTTCACGATTACCAAGAGAGAGGATTAGGTGGTACGCGAAATGAAATTGTCGTGGAAAGAATATTTTGAGAATCGCGTTCATAATTTGAAGAGATGTCGGATGGATTCGATCGAAATCGACTGATTTTATTGGCTGTAAATAGAATTAGTCGCGAAACGAATTTCGAGTGGAAAGAAATCAGAGAAAATGATATATTTGGCTTTCATATCGTGGTAATTAAGCACGTTTGCTCAAAGATTGCCTGTGACATAATAAAAAATCGGAATCAATCGATTTACGATCTGCAAACTCGTTTATCACGAGTCTAATTAAACGCCTCGCTATTGATTCAACGAAATTTGCTTTGAAGTTAGGCAGATATAAAGGCAAATATTTCTATCTTATCCATTTTCTTCTCGATTATTACAGGTGTCTCAAAGGAATTTCGAATAATTATTTCTATCGGTTGGTAGAGAATTTCAAGACCGTCGTGAATTAAACCTCGCTATGACAACTTTTCATCGAGCGATCGATAAATCTTATCTCAGTAGAGCAGCCTTGTTAAGAAATTTCTCCTCCATCGGTACTATAAACGTGGTCAATAATAAAAATAAAGAAAAAGTACCAGCAACGGGAAGATAAAATAAAAGAAAAGATTTCAGCGAAAATAAAAGATTACAAAGATACAAAAATAAAATTTTTGCATAAAGAAAGAAGCTAATCGATCAAGCGTTTAATCCCTGATTTAAATCAGATTTAAATCGATTAAATCTGGTGTCTTGAAAATTTCGAAATTTGGCACAGCTTTAACCAAGAAGCACTTTCTCTAATGGCAAATATTTTTTCCCTAGCGACGAATAATCCCGTACAAAAGCCCGCAAGTGCAGGTACAGTGGACAGGCAATTAGCCGAGTCGTTTCGCGTTGAATTCATTACCGTGCCCCACAGAAATTTCGAATGTGGAGCAACGATTACGGCCCTTTAAACGGTCCACTCCGATTTCAATGGAGGAAGCGAGGCAGCTACAACAATATACCGCATGAACACCTACTTATAACAAAAGTATGGACTTACATTGTACACCTATTATCCACTTACGTCTCTGGGACAATACGCTGGAATTGCAGTGCCTGGATGACGAGACCACGCTTCACAAGCAGTTCGGACGTACGCGGCATCTCTTGCCACCGAAATCTTCATTTAGACAAGCATAACAGCCTGATTTACACCGTCCTCGGGTTTTAAACAATTGCGACCGAGATGAGGAAGTCGGTCCGGCTACGTTTGTCAGACCTATCTCGCGTGCTCCCTGCAACGTACGCCTCCCCCCGGGTTACAGTTCACTTTTAACCCGAAATGCAATTTCCTAGATAGTGCTTGCCAATATTTGCGCAGCGAAGAGAGACTAAAGCGCGAAGATAACTGGAACGGTGGCTCGGTTATCGGGAACTATGCGTTACAAGCCGCGTCTCGCGAGCCGAATGAACGGGATGCACCGCGGGCCTCACTTTTATGGAACAAGACCAAGACAGGAAGCCTAGAACACCGTCTTCCGATGTTTGTTCTTATCGTTAGGCGACCGATGCGAACGATGCGGCGAGCTCGAGAACCGAATGCCGATCTCGATACATGTATCGAGCACGATTACAACGCGAATGATCGAGCTCCGTGGAAATATTTTCACCTCGTAACGATATCTACATTATCTGCCTGCTAATGCCTCGATCGTGATTCGATTTTTTCCAACGATTCGCGTTGATAAATCGGCGAAACGAAGTAAGTCCGATGGATATCGCGTGTACATTCGCTGACAGTACTCTAGATTGAAACGGTCTATGACAGAATCTTCATCGCCGCTGATACAAGCAGACAACGAGCAATACGAATGAAAGAAGGATAGGCCTAAATGTGCTATTAGAACTAGGACAACGTTCTAATTAAATTCGCTTGATGGTTCGAAACGTTAGCCCCGGCCTGATCGCGAGTTACCTTGTTACACGGGGAAACAAACAGTAACAATCAATCATCTCCAACTAACATCGCCAATTACCAATTATCACCGAACAACATCTTAACTATAGACCAGCGGACGGCCAAGATAACGGCTATCTTATCTAACCCCATCAGCCTGGCCTAGCCTTGCCAAGCGAAATCCTCTTCCGGCCAACGAGCGTAATCCTCGCTATAGAGCGAAGCCTAGGCTCTGGCAAGCGCGGAGGCAACGAAAACCGCATGCAGGAAGTTGGACAAGGAGGAACCACGGAACATGATTCATAGTTCGCTCCTTCCGACGCTTCTCGCCGAGACGCGCACGTTAGATAATGTAGCTCACTTACGGCGGCGGATGTACCATGTTAAGCAGCTCCGACGGCGAAGTGAGAACTCTACGTATCGTGAGCTTCCGGCCGTTGGAAGAACCCATGCCGATCGATGCTAGAGAGCGTATAGAGACGGAATCGGGAAACGGTCGGACGTGGGTTTGCCCGTTTCCGTCGGAAAACACGATCGATGCCCAGCTGGCCGCCGGTAGATGATACTGGTGCTGATGTTCATCCATCGTCGGATTAGACTTCACCGATCTCACGCTGGAGCAACGATGTCGTCCAACGTGCGAGTCGATCCCCCGAACGGATCTAAGTATACCCTGTGGGATGTCGCGATGCAGTCTGGTCTCCGGTTGACCGACTTGATCCCCTGACTTCGATTGCCGAAGTCGCGAGTACGCTTTTTCGTGGATGCTGTTGCTGCTGTCGTCCCGAGGGATGCCTTTCTTCACGCCGTTGCAGTGCACGCTGCTCGAGCTGGCCGGGGTAATGGTGATCTTCCGACCTGTCGCCTCGGTGGTGCTTAGCAAACGACCCCTTTCCTCGGACGGTGAATCCGAATCGGCGTCGTGATGATGATGATGCTGATAATGCTGCTGCCCTATCCTTATCACGTCAGGATCCATATCGTCCGAGGCATCCTCCTCCTCCGGCATCGTGCTCATCTTGCGCACGCAGCTGCTCTGCTTGCCGATCACGCTCTGGAGACGAGCACTGTTGCCGTGTGCGTTCGTCTTGCCCGCGATCGTGTTGTTGCTGTCGTTGCCGTTGACGCCGCTCTTGCTGTCCGTGGCATTCATCGTGGCATGGCGATCTAATGGCAGAAAGAGAGGTGAAGAATGGTAGACGGAGACACAGAAATAGCGATCGAGCCAGCCCAGGTGGCGGAGGGAGAGAGACACGCATGGTGAGCGTGAGAGAGAGGTAGGTGGAGTGGGAGGGAGGAAAGGAGGGAGAGAGAGAGAGAGAGAGAGGGAGAGAGAGGGAGAGAAGAGAAGAGAAGCGAAGAGAGAAAGAAAGAGAGGAATTTACAGAGAATGCTTGCACGAACTTCCGGTAATTTCATCGATGTAAGGAAGCGCGAAAATATTCACAGACGGTTCGTTAAGAGGTTGGGTTAGGTTCCACTCTTACCTTATACGATTACCACGAAACACTGTCCGATACTTGGGCGCTCTTTATTTTTATACATCTGCCTTCGGCAGGCAATCAGTCGGAGTTTTGAATGAATTATCAATTTTTCTGATGATTTATTGCTATCGGCAGGGAGCTTTTTTAATTACCGCGCGAGTGCAGTTAGCCTTATCGTGACGCGATGGACCCGTTTAACGCACGTTTGTTACATACAACACAACGGTGCACGGAGAGATAAAACAGCAATGGAGCACGCGTAATCGCGTCGCATTAAGATTTACCGCGGAATACGCGTCACGATATCAAAGAGCGAACACGGTGGCTCAGAGGAGCCGAATCCGTCGTCTTTCCGTAACATTCATAAACCTCGAGCTGAATGAAAACACGGGCTTTGGAGCGATGCAGCGAGTCATTGAAAAATAACCGAATGCCTTTCTCGTAGCATGCATTAAACGGCGCGTGTATATGGCAAACGATAAACAACGATCGAAAGGAACATTTCATACCTTCCACGGAAAATGTCACCGAGTACGGTGTAACCGGCGATAAATCGAGCCGGATGAAAATGCTATGAGACAAAGGCACGACAGCACCAGCGAAGCGACAAAGATCACGTGTTATCGAGCCAGTACCTGTCAGATCGAAGAGGGCCTCAACCGGATCGATTGCATTCCAGTGAAGTTACTGAGACCCATCGATGCACGGGGATCTGATAACAGGCGCACGCAAGCCGTCCACGTGGAACCGTGACGTTTGTGATTGACAAAAGTCTGGATGGGCAAGTGAAACACGTCCCGGTGAAACAGTCGCGAAAATCGGAACGTTCGTTGCTGCGGCTACACGCGATTACGGTACGTCGACGTCGCGTCACGGCGGCGTTGTGTATACCGATCGTGCGTCAGCAGCCGTGACAAACACACGCACGTCTATCGCCTTTTCAATCGTCAGTGCCTTCTCGTGAGCATTGCGGGTACTAGTGATACGAAGCTTGGGACTCGGACCTGACGCGCCACGCTCGGCAGCGCTCGGCCGTCCTCGGCAGGCCGATACCCCCACCACTCGCCCAGCCAACTTCACTACGATTTCCTATTAGTCGAATCGATTGTCGCTCCGCGCGATCTTTTCCGTTAGTCGGCGTGGTCGATACATCTTCCCAGCGTGCGGGAAGAAAGTCGGTTTGTGAAAGCGACCGGTGAAAGATAAAGTGGCGTTTTACGCAGACTATTTGGTAACTCCGCTACGAAAGAATTTTAAGTATCATAGTCACCGAGCAGCCGAGAATAAAACGAGCAAATGCAAATGTAAGAGACAGATAAGGGGGAACAGAGTCTTTTGAAATATTTCTCCCGGCGAAACTTCAGATCAGATAAATATCTCGAGACCTGGTATATTATAAGGGACACTTGCAGGCATTTTTCCAAAACCTGTCCACAAATTTGCTCTCGAAAGGTAACTTTTAAGAAAACTAATTCTTTATCTTTCATTTGAATTATTTCATTGACTGTCTAGAAATACTTATTGTATATTAAACTCTATTGTTTTCCGTAGCAATTTTATGCGTTACTGTCGAAGAAATAGAGAATATTGCATAGGTTATTGGTTTTTAAAAAAATATTTTATCATTGTCATTTATTTTGTAATATTTTTTAATACAAGTATCAATAGGACAACGTGAAACCCATTTCACCGAGTAAGCTGTACCATTAAAAAGTTTCAAATATAAATCATCGTGGGTCGGGGCAGTGCAACTGCCTGTAGATAGACAACCCATTCTACTGCAGCGTCGCTCGTGAATCAGTAGAATTTCTCGAATAAACCAGGCGTGTTTCGTAGTTAAAAATTTGTGAAAATTAAACAGACGGTCCGATAGAAAGTAGTAAAGAGTTTTATATTATCGAAACGATGTTACCTAACGATTTATTAATTCTTGTTTCGCAATATTCTCTTGCCTGTGTGCAGGAACGAGTACATCGCGATTATGCACACAAAGCAAGGATCTTCAGCAGCGTTACTCGTATTACATAGAAAGTGAAAAAGGTATGTACAAGTTAAATGATGCAGTTTGTGTCGTGCTAAATCAACAAATTAATGTACAGGCACGGTGTAATGTATTAGACAATAACACGCGAAAGGTTTTAGACAGTTGACATTAACTTGCCATTATTTTCGTTAAGCGGGAAAATTCATGGATATAAATGTAACTTATTTTCCCTTTCTTTATATTTTAACAAGGTTTAACGTGAAATTTCAAGTACCCGAGCGTCGATTTTCGAAATAAAACTGAAGATAAAATGCAAACAAAATTTTCTTTCTTAATTTACTAGGATAACTGTCGTAATTTCGCAGTAAATGTTGGTTGTAAAATTACACTTTACGTTACAGGAATGTTCATGTAAATATTCGTATAAATATTTTCGCGTGTAATTGCAAGCTTCGTTTCGTTGGGCAGTTTCATTTAAATATCTAAAAGTATTTATACAGGATACACGTGTGTGCTATACGATATTCGATATTGATAATATCCGATCGTAAAATTAGATAAGGAATTTGTGTTCGGTTAAGTGCAACGTTACGTTTACGACTGTAATAACATTTTATGAAATGTAGTAAGGTCAACAAGATCAATAGCGTAAAGTTGGTTTGCTCGTAAAATCCAAGAAAGTCTCAACAGCCTGTCGAGTTGGATATTGCCAGTTGATGTATCAGTGTCTAATAGAACATGGTAAGGTCAGTATACTAAGGTCAATACTAAGCTTCGTTTATTCTCTGAGCACATTTTCAGATTATTTCCAACTTAATTGCAATACTTTTCGATCATTCAATTTTTTTTCAGGGTCTTGGATTACGGTGTACCTGCTACAAATGACCGATATAACGATAATATAGACTTCCATATACACTCTATTTATGGTAAGCAATTATTAAGAGCTGTATTCGCATGTGCTATGAAATACAATGGAAACTTTACTGGAAAATGAGATCCACAGTCATTTATATTTTTATGGAAGACACGGATAATAGAAAATAATGGGAAGATAATTGGCAGATGAAAATAGACAAAAAGATAGATTTAGTATATAATAGCTCGTCATTTGCTATTTCTGAATTGGGAGAATTATGATCATCGATTATTTTGCAAACAATGTTCTAATACGTGGAAACTTTACTGAAAAATGAAAAACATTTATTTTTATAGGAAATAGGAATAATAGAAAATAATAGAAAGATAATAGATAAAACAGATGTAAATAGATAAAAAGATAGATATAGTATATAATAGCTCGTCGTTTGCTATTTCGAAATTGGGAGAATTATGATCATCGATTATTTTGCAAACAATATCCTAATACGTGGAAACTTTACTGAAAAATGAAAAACATTTATTTTTATGGGAAATACGAATAATAGAAAATAATGGAAAGATAATAAGCAGATGTAAATAGAAAAAGAGATAGATTTAGTATATAATAACTATATATAATAACTATAGAAATTGTTATTTCTGAATCGACTATTTTGCAAACAATATCCTAATACATGGAAACTTTACTGAAAAATGAAAAACATTTATTTTTATGGGAAATACGAATAATAGAAAATAATGGAAAGATAATAAGCAGATGTAAATAGAAAAAGAGGTAGGTTTAATATATAATACCTATTAAAATAACTATATATAATAGCTATAGAAATTGTTATTTCTGAATCGACTATTTTGCAAACAATATCCTAATACATGGAAACTTCACTGAAAAATAGAAAACATATTTTTATGGAAAACATGAATAATAGAAAATGATAGAAGGATGATAGATAAAACAGATGTGAACAAATAAAAAGATAGATTGAGTATATAATAACACGTTTGGTATTTCTGAATCGAGAGAATTATAGTCCTCGACTATTTTGCAAACAATATCCTAATACATTAAAGACAATATTTTACAGAACAACTATAGTATCATAGATCACATTATAGATGACGTAAATTTCTAAGATAATTAATAATACCGTGTAATTGATATAGAACCAATATACATTAAAAATATTCGAAAAATTTTTCTTGCAAACACGCTAATTCTCGGGCAGTGTATAGATTTGAATAAACCAATATAGAAGCACATATATAAATATGGAATCGTTATTAAAACAAAATTCAAGATGAATGAGAACGAGTTTGTAAATATTCAGCACCTCCGGGAATCGTACTTCTACATTTTCTCATCTTTTCTTTTTTCTTTCCATCACGCACAAAGATTCTTTTGTCTTCCATCCTTCGATCTTCCTTTCGCAAAAATAAATATTGACTCGCATACATGAGGTAGCGGTTAATGCAATTACGCGAACGCTGGTAGTCGTACGTAGCACGCCGTTAGGATCACTGTGCCAAGGACTCGTGGAGTTCAATTCCCACAGAAGTGCGGGTAGCTGGCGTTTAAGGCGTCGATGTCATTATCCTCTGGATAAGTAACAGGTACAATTGAACGTAACATTTCTTGCTTACCTGTAACTCGATAATGTGGACTCAGCGTGTTTTACGACCGACTAAGCAGTTCCGTCCTGTTGCTGATCCTCGCCCCCGGGCAAAACAATTATAGTTATGTGCTTCGTAAGAAGTAATTGCACGTCGTCGTGCTAATTTGAGGAATTTTCGAGATCCTCGCCTTTTTTCTTTTAGCCTTCCTTTCCTCAAAATTTTTCGAAAGTGTCTTTTAAAGCCTCGACCATCGCCATTTATGCAATACGATTTGTCCATCCATGTTAATTAAAAATTAGCACAGGTAGTTAAATTATTCGCCAAATATTTGTTTAATTGTGTAGTAATACAATTGAAATTGCGTGGAAAATTTTACTAATGGGAAATTGGTAATTTATTTCTTAAAGATTCAATATCCTGCCTGTTAAGTAATGGTATGGAAAATTAGAAATTTTGTAATAATTGTTAAACTAATTATTTAATTGTGTAGTAATACAACTGAAATTGCATGGAAAATTTTACTAATGGGAAATTGGTAATTTATTTCTTAAAGATTCAATATCCTACCTGCTATGTAATGCTATGGAAAATTAGAAATTTTGTAATAATTGTTAAACCATTTATTTAATTGTGTAGTAATACAACTTAAATTGCATGGAAAATTTTAGAAATGAAGAATTGGTAATTTATTTCTTAAAAATTCAATATCTTGCCTGCTAAGTAATGGTATGGAGAATTAGAACTTTGGTAATAATTGTTAAACCATCGTTGCTTTTAATATACAGGCAAATTTATTGTTTTAGAATATTGAATATTTGGACTGAAATTCTTTCAAGAAGATATAATTTTAAAAAGAAATTAATTCGAAGCAAGGATCAAGCAGAATAATATCGTCCACTGTTAGATCTCCGAGAGACCTTCCTGGCTACCTGTCCAAGCTCGCGAATCTTTACTCTGGGAACCTCTGTGTAAAACACATTAACTTATCATTCATAACTGCGAGTCAAACAAGACACCTGATGAAGAAATTTCAATTCGTTCCGCTACTACCTCGCAATTGCAGTTCTGCCGTATACCTGCGAACAGGGTAATAATTGCAAAGGAATGTAATTGGCTTCGAATTCTCGAGTTAGATCGCCACACGTCGAATTATGATAATTCCTCGGACCATTTCGTCAGCTTCGCCGAAAGATTCTATAATTCCTCGCGTTCCTAGGGATGCGTGCGAACGTGTAATGATGTATTTTAAAATATACAAATCCCGTTAGAGGAATTTTACGATGGTCGAACCACGAGCAAGGTGAGGAATTAATTTATTGCATCGTTCGCTATGGGGATTGCCGAGAGTGTTGCACTCTGACCATAATAACACCGCTGGATCGCGAGTTAAATTTTCTTCAGGCTGCAGCGCGAAGGTTCGTTCGCATTTGACATTAAAACCCACATAAATATTTGCCGTGTCTTCCTTTTTCCGAGCGCATTCGGTTTTCATCTTTATCAACGTGCTTCATGAATTTATTTATAAATCCTTGTCAGAGATATCGATGCTAATTCATAAAATTGTCACGGCTCGGGGACATATTTCCAAGCGGGTACTTGCTAAGTATTTACATAGAACGTAATCACTGTACTAAAAAGGTAGCATCGATAATGTTTTATTCAGCGTAGCGAAAAAGTTCCTTTTTCCTTGCTATCGGGGGTCCTAAGTGGAAATAAATTGCGGTCCTCGGTAGCCTGACATCCAGAGTTTGGTATGTAATAAATTTTAGATTCACGTTTATCATACGATATACCACTTTGAAGCGGGTAGACGACACTATTAATGGTTTCCACTTAGCCATGTAAAAGAAGATAATTTCCAATGATCGGCAAAAATTGTCGATAGAAATTTAACCGTAATAATATTCGTGATAGGAAATTTTTAATAACCCTTGCGAATTTTTACAAGGTATAAAAAGGCTACGTAAATTTATTTTAACCCGGGACACGTAACTTTAAATATTAATTCTAAAATTCGTTTATTTTTCAGCATAGATAATCGATGATTTAGCTGACAAATATCGAGACTTCGAGACTTCTCAGGAAACATTTTTCGTTATTCAAAATCCTCGAAATTCAGGTAAGAAAAAATACAAGTAAATTATATAATAATATAAACACCCGACGTGTTAAAAATTTGAAGTTTCCTTTATAAAGTTGCAAATTCGAGATTCGAGAATTTAAATTAGCTTTTTAACTAGATTGGAAATTAATTGTTTAACTATCGAGTTTCTTACTTTTTTTTAGAATATTTCTTACTTTAAAATTCATTTTCGATTCAACCGTTTGAAAATCGCAGGGACCCCAAAACCAGGGGTACCACGGTAACCTAAATAAATGTGGAACGTTGCGAAAATGACATAAACGAAAGAAAAAGTGTAACCAAAGTTCGTTGAAAGTCAACGAACCAGCATTTCCATCAGCTTGGATCTCCCATGACGCATCAGTCCGCGGAGGGAGCCAGTCTCGAATCTCGAAAACGATGTCAGCTCCATTTCAGGTAGAAAGCATCATCCTGGATCGCCTTATCTCCGGCTGCATTGTTCGGGTTGGCCAAAAAGGAGAAGACACCAGAACACATCGCGATAATTACGCAATTCAGATATTACGCAAGCTCCATCTCTCTCGTGCTCTGTCTCTCTCGCTCTTGGTCGGATGCTGGGACGGGAAGAGCGAGGACTGGTGGCGCCCGGAGGAAAGCGGAGGCTGCGGCGAAATCGCGTTAAAAAGCGACGCGGTGGCTACGATCGAAGGATCGATCCTCTCTGCTCCTTTTTTTCCGTGCAACCGGGGGTGTGGATCGTTCGCGGTTAGAAGTGCTCTAGAGCGAGACGTGGCTATCCCGAAATAAACTTTCTCGGGTTATGTAAAGGCTGGGCAACTGGCTTGTGTTGACTCGCCGGTATAAAGGTCGGCTGTGCCCCCAACAGTCCAAGAGTTGCTCACGAACTTCACGCCGGCAACCATCGGGAGAACACTCGACGCTCTATATGTGACGTTGCCTTTTTATCTGACGCAGACTTATCTCCGGCGTTCACACAGCATCGCACTTTCTCGAGAGAGCGTTGTGCTGTTGCACAGGCACGTGTCCCGTCGTTTCGGCAACATGCGTTCCTTGGTAAGTATCTTCTTTCGCCTTGCGCCACTCTTGTCCTCTCCTGCGTCGCGTACGAGTCTTCCTCTTTCGTTTCGTGATCCATCGGGGGTTAAATGGCGTCGATCTCTCAAAGTCGAACCGTTGCTTTGCCAAGCTTTGCTCTTTATTCGGCACGTGCTGTCACGAGTTCCAGCCGAGATCGCGTCGAGATTCGCTATCTCGTGATCGATTCACGACGCGACGGGGTTAGGACAGGTCAATGGCTCGGAATCCTTCGTTTAATACTATGATATAGAATCATCCAGTCAGTCGAAATGATTTCGGATTTTATTTTATTTTCATTCAATTGTTCTTTTTAAACTTTTGCTCTCTTTACATTATGAGGATATCGATAATCTATATCTATATCTAATATCTAGGGTAATTTTCGTCAATAATGATTGGAAAATTGAAGAAGACTACGTTTATAATCGCTTTTCTCTTTGTTGAAACGAAATTTTTGTTTTTAAGGAACTTCTCAGTGTAAAAATGTGTTGCATATGTTTTTAAGGTATAAGAGGTTAATATTGGAATTACAGAGTTTGTTGAAGTCACTGATTTTTGACTTTTGTCTTTGTTGAACCCATCATTTGATAGTACAATTACCGAATTAATAAAAATCTCTAATTTCAATTTTATTTTCAGTTTTATGCATATTAAGAATAGATAGATATGACGAGATTAATATAGATCTTTATTGAAATAGAAAGATAATTATCTACACTTACTGCCAAACAAAAAGGAAACAAAGTATTCCGAAGTTTTAATATGTAATTACATAAATTGAAATGAAAAATAAACTTTACAAACCTATTTTTAATTTCAATGTATATATATATATTTCAGAAGATCAAGAATATATTAAAATTAAAAATATATTAAAATAAGAATATACAAATTACTTTCATTATACTATTTTTATTAAAATGTATAGGGTGGCCAGAAAATTTTACGTTTATTTTAGAAAATTAGAAATATATACAAATTCGCAAATTATTGCTTTCTTCCTTCACATTTGTCATTAAATGTCTAATTACTTATTAGTTACTTTCATTGTACTATTTTAATTAGAATATATAGGGTGACCAGAAAATTTTACGTTTATTTTAGGAAATTAGAAATATATACAAATTCGCAAATTATTGCTTTCTTCTTTCACATCTGTCATTAAATGTATAATTACTTATTAGTTACTTTAATTGTACTATTTTAATTAGAATATATAGGGTGACCAGAAAATTTTACGTTTATTTTAGGAAATTAGAAATATATACAAATTCGCAAATTATTGCTTTCTTCCTTCACATTTGTCATTAAATGTATAATTACTTATTAGTTACTTTTATTGTACTATTTTGATTAAAATATATAGGGTGGTCAGAAAATTTTACATTTATTTTAAGAAATTAAAAATGTATACAAATTCGCAAATTATTGCTTCGTTTTTTCACATTTGTCATTAAGTGTTTAATTACTTATTAGTTACTTTCATTGTACTATTTTAATTAGAATATATAGGGTGATCAGAAAATTTTACGTTTGTTTTAGTAGATTAGAAATATATACAAATTCGCGAATTATTGTTACGTTTCATGGTCAAGGAGTACATTCTTGTTTAGTTTTGTCGTGCTGCTTTAATTGGCGTGCACAGATAGATCGGTAGATCCAGTGTCAAGTTTGATTTCGCAATCGAATATTTCGGTAGTCGGTGACTTGTTTGGAACTGGATTTTATTTTGGTAATGACGCGATTCGAGTGTGTTTTACAAGCACGTTTATCTGTAACAAGCAATCAACATTTCTCGTGTTTGTTCGATGCGAAGATGATTTATGCCACGAGATGTATAGTATTGATAGAATTTAATGGTCTCCTGCATGATTTATTGTTTTGCTTCAGGAACTTTGCATAATTTGCAGGGTTATGGTTCGATGTTATTTATGCAACGGTATGTAGACTTTTTGTGAAATCTACAAGGATAATTCTGTGGGAAATATGTGGCCATTAAACGTTAAAATGAAGTGAAAAACATTTTCCTTTGACCTTCGGTTATGGAGAAGGAATTATACAAGATGCTGGAGATAAGTGGAATTCTAAATTTCAATTTAAACATTTCATTTTATTTATATTCCAGATTTTTTATTTTAAAAGATGTTCATTATATAAGGCTTCCTAATTCAAAGTTGTATCTGCTTTTAGAGATAACGTACAAGTGTAAAAATTCAGATGTAACTTCACTATCCGAACATAGGTAATTTATGTCTCTTGTTAGGAAAGTAAACTTTCTTTTTCCAATATCTTTCTCTATACTCGGTGTTTGAATATTTATTCCCCAATCGAAGGAATACAGATTAAAAATACAGTCAGCTTTTATCAAAATAATTAAATCTTACAATTTATAAACCAATATTATATAATAGACTATAAGAATACATGATTCATAAATTTGAATTGATACGAAGAATTCCAATTTTCCATATCATCGTTCTCGATGAAAAATTTATAATTATAAATTCCCCTGTTATCAGAGTCGTTTAAATTATACAGTTTTACGCGTAGGAGGTGTAGAAATTAAATTTTAATTTAATTTTATACAACGTGTCCAGGTAATTTTGAGATCACGTTTATTCGATATATATTTTACATCGCTGTAATATTCATGCAACGCAACGATATAATTTTGCTATGCTATAGAGTAGGTTGGTGAAATTTTTTGGAGGAACAAATATTCCATAATACGAAAGAAATTACGCGTTGATGATCATGGTGCAAATATTTTTCGCGATTACTTGCAGCAACATTATAGCCAAGTTTCCTTCGTCCCTTTTACCGCTTACAGTCGTAATGAGTATTCTGACCTACCTACTAACACATTCGTCTTGCCCTGACCTTTCACGGGGAAAGGTATCTCAACGGATTTACAGGACAGACATGACGAAGATTAAAGCATGGATGTATCGACTTTTATACCTTCACGCTCTGGCTACCTTTTAGTTTGATTAGTAACAATAGAAATCCGAGTAAAATATGACTCGGAGAAGAATAAATGCACGGTTAAAACGGGGCACAGAAATGGAGAAATGAAACGATTCACTCGTATATATGCAAATGTAAATATTTTTTAAAATAATCATTATTAAATAAATTATAAAAGTAGAATATAAAAGTTTGAATCGATGTTGAATTAAATAATTCAAGAAATTATCAGTACGATGAAATAATGAACTTGAAAAATTTTAAATTGTTAATACATATATCTAATTCGAATTATACGTACAGATAAAAGACAAGAAATTATCTGTGAATTTTTCTGTATCCTTTTCCTTCTGAAATACATAGATTAAAATTAAAAGTAAGTTTCGTAGAAAATATTTAATAAAATTTTACTGTCCATTGATGTATAAGATCTGATCTCTTCATCCTATTTTTAATTTTGATCCATGTTATATAAAAACAAAGAATATAAAATACAAAAATTGGCAAATTAATATCTCGTTTCATAACTTCTGTCTACAGAAATTATTATTATTTAGAATACACTAGAATATAAAAATATGAATCGATGTTGAATTAAATAATTCATGAAATTATCAATATGGTGAAATAATGAATTTGAAAAATTAAAAAATGTTAATACATATATCTAATTTGAATTATACATACAGATAAAAGTTAAGAAATTATCTGTGAATTTTTCTATATACTTTCTCTTCTGAAATACATAGATTAAAATTAAAAATTGGTTTTCTAGAAAATATTTAACAAAATTTTACTGTCCATTGATGTAGAAGATCTGATCTCTTCATCCTATTTTTAATTTTGATTTATGTTATACAGAAACAAAGAATATACAATACAAAAATTGGCAAATTAATATCTCGTTTCATAACTTCTGTCTATAGAAATTATTATTATTTAGAATACACTAGAATATAAAAATATGAATCGATATTGAATTAAATAATTCACGAAATTATCAATATGGTGAAATAATGAACTTGAAAAATTAAAAAATGTTAATACATATATCTAATTCGAATTATACGTACAGATAAAAGTCAAGAAATTATCTGTGAATTTTTCTGTATCCTTTTTCTTCTGAAATACATAGATTAAAATTAAAAGTAAGTTTCGTGGAAAATATTTAACAAAATTTTACTGTCTATTGATGTACAAGACGTCATCTCTTCATCCTATTTTTAATTTTGATCCATGTTATATAAAAACAAAGAATATACAATACAAAAATTGGCAAATTAATATCTCGTTTTATAACTTTTGTCTATAAAAATCATTATTATTTGTTATTCAATTCTATATATAATACAATTTAAATAATTAATTATTTTTGACAGGTCCTGTACCAATATGTACATACCTCGTGTATATCATAATAACATACCTTTAGTTAAAAATAAATTGACATTTCCTTCATCAGAAAGGAGCATTGTTACCTGAGAACAGAAATTCATAGTCATCGTGTAATAGAAAACGATTAACCATAGTCGAACCTCGATGATATCAAACTTAAAGACGAGGAATATTTACAAGCAAGAAATCATCGATATTCGCTATAGAACTCAGTGCAGTCGTAAAATTCGTACAGAAATACGAGAATTCTTTTCATTCAGCAAATCTGTGGAGAATTTCCACGAAAATAGAAAGATATTCAGGAGAAATTATTATTCCTTTGAATCGAACAGACCTTTGAGTTGTATCGACTTCTTCTAAGCTGCCATTACTTCTGACGTAACTTAGGTGCCTGCATCAATCATCGGTGCATTCGTGACAACGATAACTCTCTATGATTTCACTGCTGACTATCAATTCGAACATGCAGTTCCTATCAAAATAATTTCCACCAGTTAAAAATGAATATCTGAATAGCGTTTCTCGACTGGTCGAACATCAGTCAAATGATAGAGTGTAACGTGGAAAGAGAATTTCGATTAATTTCGCGAATCGAGCTAAAAGGAAAAGCATTTTCGAAGCAAATGTATTCGACGACTTGAATCTCGAAAGAAAAACATTTATTGGACCGTAATTTAGAAAGTGACAGGTTTAGTAACGCGAACGAGCAAATTCCTTTTTCCCTGTACAAAATTTTGAATTTCATTCCAAGTCGTTATAGAAATGACGTGGACCAGTGATGCAAGGTAGTTGTAAAATAATTATATATGCAAAATTGGAATAAGTAAGATATTGATTTATAACTCGATACCGTAATTTATCGTTACATCCACTTTTACTTTAACGATGCTAATCCTGAGGATGATGCAAGCAAACTGCAAAATAAACATTCTTTCAGTCTCCTTTTTTTCCAGTTTTATATGCGCAAGATTAAGATAAAAGAAATGTTAACTTAATGTCATAGCAGAATATTATGGCTCGACTCTTCGCTTGCTATAATAATACTAAATCGGTATTTCGATATTTACAGTTTTCACAAAGAAATTGCCATTAACTTACAATCTTCCAATTTTTTAAACTCGAATTAATTTTGGATTACATCTATTAAATGTTTATTAAATATTTCTAACATTATTAAATTAAAGTAAATAATTATTATTTTTATTTTTCTCTCCATGAAATTTCTAACTAATTACATTTCTTTATTTATTCTTTATTTTTCACCCTCATTTAAATCAAAATGAAGAAATCGAAGATAGCTCACATATTAATCCCTTTTTCTTCATATACCTAAGTACATCCCAATTTTATTAAATTCCCAACTTTTATTAAATTCTCCAATACACATATATAATATAGGAATAAACAATAATACAATATTAAATTGAAATTCTCTATAAGAAATCACCAATTTCTAATTTTCCAATTTTTTAAACTCGAATTAATTTTGGATTACTTCCATTAAATCTTTGTTAAATATTCCTAACATTTATTAAAGCTATAACTTTTCCCAATTCCTGTATTAAATTAAAGTAAATATCTATTATTTTTATTTATCCTCCATGAAATTTCTAACTAATTACATTTCTTTATTTACTCTCTATTTTTCATCCTTATTTGAATCAAAATGAAGAAATCGAAGATAGCTCACATATTAATCCCTTTTTCTTCATATACCTAAGTACATCCCAATTTTATTAAATTCCCAACTTTTATTAAATTCTCCAATACACATATATAATATAGGAATAAACAATAATACAATATTAAATTGAAATTCTCTGTAAGAAATCACCAATTTCTAATTTTCCAATTTTTTAAACTAGAATTAATTTTTGATTACTTCCATTAAATGTTTGTTAAATATTCCTAACATTTATTAAAGCTATAACTGTTCCCAATTCCTGTATTAAATTAAAGTAAATATCTATTATTTTTATTTAACCTCCATGAAATTTCTAACTAATTACATTTCTTTATTTACTTTTTATTTTTCATCCTTATTTAAACCAAAATGAAGGAAGCGAAAGTTTAGGTACACCTAAATGCATCCCAATTTTTATTAAATCCCCATACAAATAATATATCTTTTTCCACTACACACAATATAGCAATAAACAATAATATGATAATAAAAGAAATCGCATTACACGTCAAACAACTTCCCACATTCTTCACCTTTCCATCCAAATCAAGGTAAACCTAGCAGCCAAACCTGAAATTAAAATAAAAAAGGAAAAAAAGGAGAAAGAAATAAAATCGTAATTCATGCACAACTTTTTCCACGAACTTTCTTCTGAACTTACCGTCAACTTTCAGATCATCCTCGCACTTGTCGCAGTGGCCCACTGCCAGGAATATTTCCGGCAACCGGAAAAGATCGTGAGCGAGAACCGGAACCTTGGCGACAATCGTGGCCACTATTCGTTCACCTACGAGACCGAGGGCGGCATAGTGCAAACAGAGACCGGAAGCCGAAAGTACGCTGGCACGCCGTCTGAGACCCAGCTGATCCAAGGGTCCGTGCAGTACAATGCTCCAGATGGTACACCGATAGCGATTAGCTGGACCGCCGACGAATTTGGTACTCAAGTAGCGGGTACTCACGTACCGACACCACCGCCAATACCGCCGGCCATTCAAAGGGCCCTTGACTGGATCGCGAAACAACCCTCGACACCGGAACCCGAGGAAGCTGCCAAAGACTCGCCGAGCCTGCAAAACGCAGTTCCAGCCAGCACCAATCGGCAACACAAACCCCTACGGACAGGCCCACGGAACTGATCGGTCGTGATCGAAGTATTAGAACAGCCATTAGAACAAGTTCACCTTAGTTATTCATTTTTATAATGTACAAATAAAAGTTTCGTATTTTCGTAGAAAATTCATTTGGCACGAATTGACTGATTTTGTGATAACTCGTCGATCATTTTTCTACGATCTTTTAGCAATCTTTTTTCCATCATTTTGTGAACATTTCTTCGATACTTTTCTCACCATTTTTCGACGAGTCTTCGAAAATTTTTGCACGATTTTTCGATAACATTTCGCGGATTTTTGCACGATTTACTAAGGTATTTGTAAATAGTATTTTGACATTTCACCGATCTTTTTAGAACTGTTCTGCAGGCTTTCGTTCAGGAAACTCTTGCTAGGTGTGATCTCAAGGATGAACGTGGCAAATTATTATTGCGAAAATTGTTAGTACAGGAATCCTCTTATTTGTATTTTCATCCATCGTCGTTTGATTGGTTTTTCCTCTCCTTCGTGTCGTGATTTAATCGTTCTGCTTCCCTCGAGCGATGTTTATCGGCCCGTAAATACTCGTGCATATCGAGAAAAGAATTTTATTCTTTCATCGAGTCGTCGAGAACCTTTAGGGTGCAGAATGCTTTTTACATTGCACGTGAGTGTTTTTATGTGCTGTCTAGAAAATAATTCATAGACACTGGGTGCAAACTGATGGTAACTGCGAATAAATAAGCAGGTACGACTTTATGTCGAGGCATGACTCAGACGGTATTCGAAGGAATTGCCATTTCTGTGATGCTCGATTGTTAATTGCTTCTGACTTAGTCAACTTAGGATAAAAAGAAAAGGAAATTTGGGAATTTTGTAAATTAAAAAATTGCGATTCTTCCTATGAAACTTACCAACGTGTCAGTGACATTTTGTTACCATTTATTTCGTAATAAAATTTATTAAAATTATAGTTCAGCTTCGTTCAATGACTCTAAATTGTTCGAATAAAATTCGACTTTATATATCGTTTTCTTAAAGACAGAAAGAAGTGGAAGAAAATATTGAACGATAAATACAAAATGGTATTATTTTCTTATACGATATACTTGAATTAAAATAAAATTGTTAATTGCTCTTTAAACAAATTTCTTTCCCTGTTATATTTATTTAATTATTATTAATTAAAGTATCAGAATATATGTAAAATTTTGTTTTCCAGTGCTATACTAATGATTTGATTACAACAACAACAAACAGCTACAACAAAATTAACTAAACTTTATATAAAATTAAATGATCAAATAAATACCATTATTAGCAGATATTTAACTACTTCCAGTTAACCCTCTATGGACCGAATATATATTTTTCTTGAGTATAGGAATCGTATGTAACATAAAATTAACAAATATTCCTTTGACAATTTTATTACAATGAATTCATATTGAAAGTTTGAATTAACAACGGTTGTACTATTGTGCTAAGATAATGTGCAATAGATTGACAAGATAATTTTCCACGCCATCTTGTGGAGAAAAGGGGCCATAGAGGACCTAACCTATCATGATCGAATAACCGGTAAATGAAAAAGAATTAGAATGTTTAAAAATGAGACCACGGCAGGTATTGTAAAAATAATTATAAATATATCGAAAGAAAAATCGTGAACTGGAGTAATCAAGACGATAACGTTGAATGCAGTATTTAACCTTTGCACTCGGCGATCTTTTCGTTACAGGAAAAGTAATTCGAAGATTTTCTGCCATAAAGTGGACGATAATTTTAAAACGGTAAATAAGAAATCGCTTAGAAATTAAGATCATTCCACGCATCGTTGGGTAATTGTAAATTTGATATATTAATTAATATCCATCGTTAGAATCTGATTAAATGGCGACTGAGAGGCGCCTCTCGAGTGCAAAGGGTTAATAAAATACCCATACATTAGCATGTAACTTGAAAGTTACACGAGCCCATAGAGGGTTGAAGAACATTTCTCACCCCAACTACCAATTCTTAAATCAAACAACGCAAACAAAAATGAATAACGAGACGATTAAGAACGATTAATATCAACGATCCTGGCGTTTATTCATAGAAACAAACATGTCCGTCAGGTGGACTCAAACCTTCACGAAGGTTTGTAAAATAATCTCATCGGTTCCAAGCCAACAGACTCAGGGACGTACATAAATGTACACTTTATTTACAACGATCTGCGCAACATGCTCTCACAACGGTCTCGCGAATAAGGTAAATGGGAAAAGAAAAAATGGAGTAGGAATTGTAAGCATTCGGCATAAATGCAAAGATAGTCGCGGATCGGGTCCCAAAGCTAATGTCTCAAGGATGCATCCGGGAATCGTGGCGAATAAACGGGAACGTTCGACGTGGTGCATCCTCGACTTTGGTTCAGATATAATCGTCGAGGAGCCTCGAGACCGATCCTCCCGAGTCGTACGGATTCACGTTCTTCTGTTTTCACTGAGCACCGATGTTGTTCTCCTCGGGATGAGCAGCGATGTACTCGAGTGCCTTGAGAATCTGGGGTGGGACGGTCGGGATGTGACTACCCTGGGGTTGGAATCCGTTCTCGTTAGCCACGTAGGTCACTTGGACGACCTCGCCGTTCGGTGCAGTGTAGGTGTAAGTGCCATGAGCCTCGCGAGCCTCTGCTTCGGAGCCTGGGTAATTAAGGTAACCGACCTCCTGCACCGCGATACCGTTCGCCGTTTCGTAGCTGTAGCTGTAACTGCCGTCGGGGTTAGGACCCTCTGCGCTCTGCCTCAGAATGGGGACCGGGGTGGTTTGCGGAATCAAAGGAAGGGCCACAGCCGAGGAGACAACGGCTAATAGCACGATCACCTGGAACAGGTTTTCTTTACATTAATATGGCGATTTTTCGAAGACCGGGGGGGTCATTGGAACATGGACGACGACGCTAATGTCAAATTTTTTCAATTAGTCATAAGAGATGTCATAAGCTAGGTTTGTTATTTCCTACCAAGCGATAAGATTTAGTATAAAGGATTAAAGGTGTCAGTCATCGGGTATATCATAAGCTAGGTTTGTTATTTCCTACCAAGCGATAAGATTTAATATAAAAGATCATAGCTGTCAAACTTCTTCGATTAGTCATAAGGTATGTCATGAGCTAGGTTTGTTATATCCTACCAAGCGATATTAATATGGCGATTTTTCGAAGACCGGGGGGTCATTGGAACATGGACGACGACGCTAATGTCAAATTTTTTCGATTAGTCATAAGAGATGTCATAAGCTAGGTTTGTTATTTCCTACCAAGCGATAAGATTTAGTATAAAGGATTAAAGGTGTCAGTCATCGGGTATATCATAAGCTAGGTTTGTTATTTCCTACCAAGCGATAAGATTTAATATAAAAGATCATAGCTGTCAAACTTCTTCGAATAGTCATAAGGTATGTCATGAGCTAGGTTTGTTATATCCTACCAAGCGATAAGACCTAATATAAAAGATCAAAGTCGTGCAGCAAGGACAGTCTCCTCGAAACCGCCTAACTGAAGAATTTGAAGCTCAAGTACTAAGTGCCATTGTAATTATTTTAGATTATAATAAAATAGAGTTTGTCATTCTACGGGTTAACAACTCAACATTTTTTGATATCTATCTCTGGTCGTGATTTTACATGACACTAAGGTCGTTTATGCGAGTAAATGGATAAACTAATAAGATTTATTTAACGCGATAACAGCACAACATAAATTATAACTAAATCTTGTAAAATAAATTCGCTTCTAACTGTGATATAATTTCTCGAGGACTCTCTCACACACAACTTCCATTTGTAATGACTATCATCCACCTACTGATTGTTTTTTCACGACTCTCTGTCATACTCGTCACACACACATTCTTCCACAAAACATTCCTCATACTCGTACCACACATTCTATGACAACCACTACCACAGTTTAGACCCCTAACTGGGATGTGGGGTAAATGACAATTAGAGGGAGGAATAGTATTGGAAATTATTGATAGGTGGGTAGAAGGATTTGGAAATAGGACTGGTCTCTTTGTTTAGGTGGATTGTAAATAAAATAAGCAATAGAATATTAAAATAATTATGGTGGATGTAATAAAATAATTAATATAATAATAAAATAATTAATACTAATCCTACCGTGATGGATAACTATGTTGGATAACCTTGTAATTTATAATAGGATAATTTTATGTATATCGTGGAGAGGGTAATTATGTATATTATGTATATGTATATTGAAGGTGAGTAGATTGCTGTGTGCATTGTGTGGTAAAATGTGCATGTGTGGAGAGAAGTGTATGTTAAAAAAGAATTATTATACTATCTTCTTTGTTTTTACGTTGTGTTCCAAAGACCATTTTGTTATAGCGATATATTTACATATCTCGAATTGACGCAATGAATGTCAAAGATTCAACAGCCTCCAATGTTATTCCATTTTTTTAAAGTTGTATTTCGTTTTCATTCACCAGTCATTTGTGGTAAATATAGTGTCAAGTATTGTTATCAGTATAGTCATTTAGGTGCTTCCTTGTTGATAACAAATAGTCATGAATTCTTCTTTGAAATGTTGACAGTCTTGTTACGCGAGGTGACAGAAAAGTGGACTTTAATTTTTGGTTTTGAATATTGCGAGATGGTAATTAATTATGTAAGTAATTATGGATCACTGAATTTATTCGAATTAGTATGAATTAATTCCACAATTTGTGAAGGAAGTTTGACTGGGATGTATAAAATATGTAAAAGTGGCGAAGTTTCAAAGTTCGATAGCGCGAATTTCGCGTTCAGATCTTACGATTAAGGCGTAATATATTATCAGCCTGAGAGAAATTATTGAACGGGAAGGAGTTATTTTCCAAGAACTTTTTGACCTTTTATAAACGGCCGGAACAGTTACCGCAGTGTCAAAAGTCGTTTAACTAGCGGAATATGTATGAATTTCGGAGTTTCAAATTTGAAGGACCTTAACCACACTATGAATAATACATAAGTACTACTTGGGTGTTTCCGCAGAAAAGGAAATACAATTTATAATACTTAAACCGATGTGTATCATACATCTAAATTAAAATCGCTATTTATATAACGTAATATAAAAAATCACTATAATTAAATCTTTAACATTCCAATAAGAAAAGGAAATAATTTATCGATATATCTAAAACACTTTAATTTTCTTAATTTAAATTGACCTAAATCTACTTCTAAATAAACGATTAATTTAAACAAATCTTTGACCCCCATGAATATATACACATTTCTATAATTTACTTTAAAAATTCACTCACACTGTATTCCTTAATTATTAAATATAATTAAACACTTTATAATAAGAAACTAGTTTCAATTTCTCTTGAAACGTGATAATTAACACAAAAAAATAATTAAATCTTCTAAAACCAAAAAATAAAAAAAATAAACCCCATATAATTCTTTGTTAAACGACCCATGATCTCCATAGAATTATTAAATATAATTAAGCACTTTATAATAAGAAACTAGTTTCAATTTATCTTGAAACGTGATAATTAATACAAAAAAATAATTAAATCTTCGAAAACCGAAAAATAAAAAAAAATAAACCCCATATAATTCTTTGTTAAACGACCCATGATCTCCATAGAATTATTAAATATAATTAAACACTTTATAATAAGAAACTAGTTTCAATTTCTCTTGAAACGTGATAATTAACACAAAAAAATAATTAAATCTTCTAAAACCAAAAAATAAAAAAAATAAACCCCGTATAATTCTTTTGTTAAATGAACAATGATCTCTATAGAGTTATTAAATATAATTAAACATTTCATAATAAGCAACTAGTTTCAATTTATCTTGAAATGTGATAATTAATAAAAAAAATAATTAAATCTTCCAAAACCAAAAAATTAAAAAAAAAAGACTCCGTATAATTCTTTGTTAAACGACCCATGATCTCCATAGAAATTTTCCCACGAAAAATAACGCAAGTGGTGAAAGTTTTAATACCTTCTGATCGTATCTGTACTGTTGGTACAAAAATCACCAAATCCCCCTAGAACATGAATTTCCTTATTCGACTTACGAACTCAGGGGCACAGAACGAGCAAAAATCTGGGCGAACAAGCAAAGCTTTACACGTGCCGATTAATTCTGCGAAAATTTCGTGCCAAATACCCGAAACATACTCGGACATCCTGATCGTCCGAAATTTCGTGTAATTACGCAAGCGACACCGACCCAACGCGTTATGACATAACATCGATCCTCGAGTGTACATCTGTAGCGACTATCCGTGTAAAAAGGGAGCGAACACCATGCACCGGCACTATTACCGAACTCACCAATTGATTCATCCTGATATCTCGAATTTTATTGCTTTTGTCCTCGACAGAGAAATTCTGCTTCCTCCGCAAGAGCTTCTCGCTACACTGACTCGTAACATGGGGCACAGGACCCCTTTATATATCCATCACCGGAACATTCGGCGAATTTCTGGCAAGCCGGTACCTTATTTAATCCCCCTCCACCCCTTTCTCCCCCACTCTCAGCCAGCAGGACACCTTCAAATTTTGCGGATGATCCAGAGGCAATCGATGCACCTCCTGATCTTCGCGTTACGTGGACAACTTCTTGTTTAGGCCACCACGGATCGGGGATTAATTTAATTCCATGTCCCCTCTTTCCC